CAAATGTCACTTATACACCAGTAACCTGAGATGACAAATGTTAATTTCATATAGGTTCTACAAACAGTGCTGTCAAGATATCTTTATAGTTTCATATAGGTTCTACAGACAGTGCTGTCAAGATATCTTTATAATTTCTTATAGGTTGTTCAAACAGTGGTGTCAAGATATCTTTATAGTTTCATATAGGTTCTACAGACAGTGCTGTCAAGATATCTTTATAATTTCTTATAGGTTGTTCAAACAGTGGTGTCAAGATATCTTTATAATTTCATATAGGTTCTACATATAATTTCATATAGGTTCTACAAACAGTGCTGTCAAGATATCTTTATAGTTTCATATAGGTTCTACAGACAGTGCTGTCAAGATATCTTTATAATTTCTTATAGGTTCTACAAACAGTGCTGTCAAGATATCTTTATAGTTTCATATAGGTTCTACAGACAGTGCTGTCAAGATATCTTTATAATTTCTTATGGGTTGTTCAAACAGTGGTGTCAAGATATCTTTATAGTTTCATATAGGTTCTATATATAATTTCATATAGGTTCAGACAGTGCTGTCAAGATATCTTTATAATTTCATATAGGTTCTACAGACAGTGCTGTCATGATATCTTTATAATTTCATATAGGTTCTACAGACAGTGCTGTCATGATATCTTTATAATTTCATATAGGTTGTTCAAACAGTGGTGTCAAGATATCTTTATAGTTTCATATAGGTTCTACAGACAGTGCTGTCAAGATATCTTTATAGTTTCATATAGGTTCTACAGACAGTGCTGTCATGATATCTTTATAATTTCATATAGGTTCTATATATAATTTCATATAGGTTCTACAGACAGTGCTGTCAAGATATCTTTATAATTTCATATAGGTTCTACAGACAGTGCTGTCATGATATCTTTATAATTTCATATAGGTTCTATATATAATTTCATATAGGTTCTACAGACAGTGCTGTCAAGATATCTTTATAATTTCATATAGGTTCTACAGACAGTGCTGTCAAGATATCTTTATAATTTCATATAGGTTCTACAGACAGTGCTGTCATGATATCTTTATAATTTCATATAGGTTCTATATATAATTTCATATAGGTTCTACAGACAGTGCTGTCATGTTATCTTTATAGAGTCATATAGGTTCTACAGTTCTCTTTTGTTTGTGTCCTCTTTTCTGACTGTCATTTGTTCTATTCTAGAAGTTTGGTCAGCTTCACAGTTATTGTACAGCAAAAGTGTATAACATGTATGTGTCTCATGATTCAAGTCTGTAAATATCTATGATTTTTTGTCAGTTACCCACTGTAGGCAGCATATATATATATAGAACTACCAGTCATGTTTGTTATTTTTTTGATCACCGCCAGACTATGTATCTGTTACATAGGGTATTTATAGAATTTAAAGCATAATATGGTTCTGCTCTGATAAATTGAGGTTCAGTGTAGCGTCAGACAGAACTTAGAAAACAAGGTCTTACTGAATGTAGCAAATATTCTACTTGACTGTATCACTATCAGTCACCTGTATCGATCTGTACTGACAAACATATTTATCACAGGAAGTTACTGTACTGTTTTCAAAGGCAGGAAGAGTTTCATTTGCCAGGATCAACACGACAGAGAGACAGTGCCACCAATTTCCTAGTGTAGTCATCTGATATACTCAGGATTTTGGACTGATTATAGACATGTATTGGACAGTGTTTTTTACCCTGGCTGTACTTAGTCTGGTCAGCGGTATCACAAGCTTTTCCTCAGACAATGGACCACCTCCTAGTCTATCTCCTGCCAACACACCTGGTGGTCCAGCTACTCCTGGTCAGTATAATGCTTGGGTTAAAGATAGTCAGTTTAAGGCTTGGTTAAAATTGGTCAGGATAAATCTCAATTAAAATTGTCAGTATAAAGTGTAGGTTCAGATCTTATATTCTAAGTGATTAAAATTCCAAAATTATTTTCAGCTTAATGACCATGTTTAATACAGTATATAGCCAGCATCACATTTACTTTATCACCATGTTAATACCTCTTCTATCGTATAGAAAAAAACTGTATTTATTAAATCACATCTCAAATTACTTACAATTCCGTTAACTGTAAGAATATCGTTGTGAGGCAATTCATATCTTTGTTCTTTTAGGAATAAGTCACTTGGTAAAAACGGCAATGGCAGTGTCATCAAAATTCATATGAAATGCTTGCTTATCGTAAATTAATTACAGGGGAGTTATCTAGTTTACATTATGTCATTGCCTGTACGGGGAATTCTACTATAGACTGTCATTATCTGTACAGGAAATTCTACTATAGTCTGTCATTGTCTGTACAGGAAATTCTACTATAGTCTGTCATTGTGTGTACAGGAAATTCTACTATAGTCTGTCATTGTGTGTACAGGAAATTCTACTATAGTCTGTCATTGTGTGTACAGGAAATTCTACTATAGTCTGTCATTGTGTGTACAGGAAATTCTACTTTAGACTGTCATTGTCTGTACAGGAAATTCTACTATAATCTGTCTTGGTGTGTGTACAGGAAATTCTTCTTTAGACTGTCATTGTCTGTACAGGAAATTCTACTATAATCTGTCTTGGTGAAATCGAGATGGTGCCAACTAATTTTCTAGTCAGTATACTTTTAGCACTGTTACACCTGTTAAGAAATGTTTACATATATACATGGTGTATGGTAAGACCTGTAAACCTAATGACTTAACAAGAAAGTAGACAGATAAAAAGACATGGATTACATGATACACACACCTGTAATGGATGTCTAGAATACCCTGGTAGTTGTTTATTAACCACAGGTAAACTGTAATCTTCAACCATTAATTGGAGTCTCACTATATTTATAGTGTGATTCAGTGTGCATGTTGCATGAAGTACATAACATAAATGTGTTAGTATGTTGAGTAATTAGTTGTTAGTAATTAGTCAACTCACAGAGTGAGACTGATAAGGGTGTTTTGGTTGTCCCTGTGAGAGAATTCACTGGAGTGTGATACTGATGAGGGTGTGTTGGTTGTCCCTATGAGAGACTACACTGGAGTATGAGACTGATGAGGGTGTGTTGGTTGTCTCTGTGAGAGACTACACTAGAGTGTGATACTGACGAGGGTGTGTTGGTTGTCCCTGTGAGAAACTACACTGGAGTGTGATACTGATAAGGGTGTGTTGGTTGTCCCTATGAGAGAATTCACTGGAGTGTGATACTGATGAGGGTGTGTTGGTTGTCCCTATGAGAGACTACACTAGAGTGTGATACTGATGAGGGTGTGTTGGTTGTCTCTGTGAGAGACTACACTGGAGTGAGACTGAGGAGGGTGTGTTGGTTGTCCCTGTGAGACTACACTGGAGTGTGATAGTGATAAAGGTGTGTTGGTTGTCTCTATGAGAGACTACACTAGAGTGTGAGACTGATGAGGGTGTGTTGGTTGTCTCTGTGAGAGACTACACTGGAGTGAGACTGAGGAGGGTGTGTTGGTTGTCCCTGTGAGAGACTACACTGGAGTGTGATAGTGATAAAGGTGTGGTGGTTGTCCCTATGAGAGACTACACTGGAGTGTGATACTGATAAGGGTGTGTTGGTTGTCTCTGTGAGAGACTACACTAGAGTGTGATACTGACGAGGGTGTGTTGGTTGTCCCTGTGAGAAACTACACTGGAGTGTGATACTGATAAGGGTGTGTTGGTTGTCCCTATGAGAGAATTCACTGGAGTGTGATACTGATGAGGGTGTGTTGGTTGTCCCTATGAGAGACTACACTGGAGTGTGATACTGATAAGGGTGTGTTGGTTGTCTCTATGAGAGACTACACTGGAGTGTGAGACTGATGAGGGTGTGTTGGTTGTCTCTGTGAGAGACTACACTGGAGTGAGATACTGATGAGGGTGTGTTGGTTGTCCCTGTGAGAGACTACACTGGAGTGTGAGACTGATGAGGGTGTGTTGGTTGTCCCTATGAGAGAATTCACTGGAGTGTGATACTGATAAGGGTGTGTTGGTTGTCCCTGTGAGAGAATTCACTGGAGTGTGATACTGATGAGGGTGTGTTGGTTGTCCCTGTGAGAGACTTCACTGGAGTGTGATACTGATGAGGGTGTGTTGGTTGTCCCTATGAGAGACTACACTAGAGTGTGATACTGATGAGGGTGTGTTGGTTGTCTCTGTGAGAGACTACACTGGAGTGTGATACTGATAAGGGTGTGTTGGTTGTCTCTATGAGAGACTACACTGGAGTGTGATACTGATGAGGGTGTGTTGGTTGTCTCTGTGAGAGACTACACTGGAGTGTGAGACTGAGGAGGGTGTGTTGGTTGTCTCTATGAGAGACTACACTGGAGTGTGATAGTGATAAAGGTGTGTTGGTTGTCCCTGTGAGAGACTACACTGGAGTGTGATACTGATGAGGGTGTGTTGGTTGTCCCTGTGAGAGACTACACTGGAGTGTGAGACTGATAAGGGTGTGGTGGTTGTCCCTATGAGAGACTACACTAGAGTGTGAGACTGATAAGGGTGTGTTGGTTGTCTCTATGAGAGACTACACTGGAGTGTGAGACTGATAAGGGTGTGGTGGTTGTCCCTATGAGAGACTACACTAGAGTGTGAGACTGATAAGGGTGTGTTGGTTGTCTCTATGAGAGACTACACTAGAGTGTGAGACTGAGGAGGGTGTGTTGGTTATCCCTGTGAGAGACTACACTGGAGTGTGATAGTGATAAAGGTGTGTTGGTTGTCCTTATGAGAGACAACACTGGAGTGTGATACTGATGAGGGTGTGTGGGGTGTCCCTGAGTGTGATACTGACAGGGATATATTTACTGTTGAAGGTAGTCCCTGAGTGTGTAAGTTGTCCCTGATTGTTGTAAGTTGTCTCTGAGTGTTAGACTGATGTGGATATATTTACTGTTGTAAGTTGTCCCTGAGTGTTGTAAGTTGTCCCTGAGTGTTAGACTGATGTGGATATATTTACTGTTTCAGGTTATTGTCCTGGAAGATCTATACCTGAGATGATAGGAGATGTACCCAAGAGATGTGAGGAAACCAATGACACCAATATCTGCAGCTCAGATTCCTTCTGTGTGAACAATATGTGTTGTCCTAGAGTTATCATTGCAGATGGTAAATGTTTATCTTTCATGTTTTATTGAGAACTTGCAAAAATCACACAGGCTGATGTAGCCCACTATACAATTCATTTTTTTGTGAGAACTTCCATTTTTTTCTTAGTATTTAGAAACATTTTAAAATCTGTGAAACTAAGATTTCTTTCATACCGGTCAATTCATTTTCATTTTTTTTTTACAAATTTCATTAACTGTTATCAGTGGTAAACATCAGTGGTTATGATTATGAAAATACAGCAACATGTTTTTAAAAGAGGATAGATATTCATATATTTGCTTTAGTTAAGGAAAATAACTCAATTTTTCCATGGCGGAACACATCCTTTTTGGCTGCAAAACAGATTAAAAGAGCACCGCTTACGTACATGTATTGTTTTTAGGTACAGAATGGTGCTTTCTATTTTACAGCTGTTAGTACATAATTAATGGTTTTTATTTTCTTTGTATAGAACTTGCCAATTTAGCTTACAAAAAAAATTGCAATGATTGTGTTCTGTTATCATAGGCCCATGTAAATACGGAGGTGAAATGAAAAGTGATACTTTGGGCATGCCTGTACCTTGTGACATGACAGAGGGGTCATGTGGCACCACCCACACCTGTGAGGATGTTGCAGGCAGCATGGCTTGTTGTCCACGAACAGTCAACATCTCTCACATACAGGGTAGGTATTGTATAATAAAAAATACTATTCTCTCATCTAAAATGATGTTAAACATAAATAATGGCAATGGTCACATATCCTGTTTTATGATTTGTATGTTGACTGTGTCTCCAGATTTTTACAGTTGGATCAAAGATTTCAGTCTGAATTATACAATGATTTATTACTCTTCTTACATAAACCGCTAAATGAGATTATGATGTGGAATATACAAAGCAGAGTCCTGACAGAGTTGTGGTCCTTTGTTTATAGAACCCTGTGGTCCTGGACCTGGCCCCTTACTCAGCAAGGATGGCAGTTCTGCCCTCCTTTGTGAAGACAACACTACATGTCCAAATGCATTCTCTTGTCTCCAAATGACAGGACAAAGTTTCCGGTTGTGTTGCCCAATCAGACGTAAGTCAAATTGTTCTACATGCCAAAGATCTGTTTATTCTGAAGGTATATTTATAATGATTCTGTGTGTAAACCTCATTCATAGTAAAGTAAGAGAGCATATGGTAATGTTGTGGCCATGTTTCTGTTTGTGTTTCCATCTGCTTCTGTAGAAATTAGTTCATGAAACCCATGACAAATGTTCTGTGCCTAAGATAATGGATATGGGCTGTGTGGTAATATTTGGTGTATTCCTTGTATGTAGCTACAAGGCCTGGCCAGTGTCCTGTAATGACTGAGGTGGGAGAGAATGACCCCACACCTGTATGTTCAATACAGTGTAGCTCTGATGACGATTGTACAGCTGGACATCGCTGTTGTGATCATACTGTCTGTGGACCAATGTGTCAGCCTGTCATAGGTAAACAATGAAGGTTGTGACAAACCTATGACAAATAAAATTAAAGCAGAAACCATACTGTCACAACATCGAGGGTGAAATATAATTAGATTTCAGATAAGGTCAAAGTATCTGAGTTGTAACTGCTTTAAATTTTGAGAGAGAGATATAAAAGGAATGAGGTAATCTTGTATATGCTGATGACGGATATATGATGAGGGGGATAGGGATGTATGTGAGCCTAAGGTCACTGTCATACTATAGCACTATTGGAAGGTTTCCAATAACTTTGTCAGGAAGGAAACTCGCAGGAAGTTTTCTTACACATAATACTATGGTTCACTGAACTGCCAGAAGCTGCAGAAAGCTGGTTCAACTTTTATCAACTATACTTGGAACAGGATGATATTAGTCTGAGGACTATTGCCTTGATGTCCAAATTAAGAGAACTTGAGAAAAAGAATACAACTACAGCTACAGAATTCTTTGAGATTTGTATATGTTTGTTACCTAGACAGAGAGCTGTTAATCTGAGGTACCGATATGACAAGGATGTGTAAGCTGGAAACATAAAGCTGTGTAGTCAAGGTTTCTTAATATAGGAATTCTTGCAGGTGGAATTGGAGTATTCATAGAATTGTGAAAAAATGAAAAAAAGAATGGAACAACACAATTTTTATATAGATGTATTTATCATAAATTCACCTGGTCCATAAAATGGCTACTAGTCATGAAGGAATAAGTGAATTTGACCATATTTGGTCAGAAGTTTCCCAAGTATGAAGGGTGAACCAATTACATCAATGTATGTGTAAAAGGAGTGTCTCAGCCCCTAAGGCCAGAATTGGGATATTTAGCAAATTCAAAGTCCTTAAATTAAGTATAAATGATGGGTCTTAGTTCAATAGGGAAAATAAAGCAAGGTCTTTATAACTTTCTTCTGTGCGAATGCCAAAATTCTATCATAGTTGGGTTTTAAGGATCCTTGGGTGAATGGGAATCACATTTGTATGGAACTGAAAGATGGAGCTGAAAAGGGAAAATTTAACCAAATTATAAATATCTATTTTTTTTCTATAAGGATGTAATTTTTTTATTTGAACTTGGTTTGAAACATCCTTTGATGAAGGTGACTCAACTTGATATGAAGTGTAGGACTGAAGACTGAGGGTCTGGTCCTGGGGAAATAGATGTAATCTTTGAAATTCAGACTATCAAGGGTCTGCAGAGTGGCGGCATCCAAAATATAGGAGACTGAGGTCAAAGTTCAAAGTCAATTTTTTTCTGCTTGAATTAAAGTATTTTGTTGATAAATATTTGAAAACTTAAAAATTCCTCATCTTTAGGGGAAATGAATTGTAAATAAACTATTCTGAAGTGAAGACTGCAATATGGATTATGATCACTTTAGTAGACAATTTAGGTTAAATGTGATAACCATGTGGGTGTTTAAGATAAAAACACCTTCTTCCAGCAGTTCAGGTGAATGGATCAGATTTTCTTTGTCTTCAGTACATGGAGTTTGCCTGTAAAGCAACTAAAGCCATCTTTCTACCTGTAGCTTAAAAGTAAATATATACATATATAAGGCTATCCAATTTAAAATCATCATCATGCTTTCTATATGCCATTTTGTGTACTTGAAAATCAATGTTGCATTATGACTGTAAGATTTTTAATTGCCTCAATTGATATCAAATGATATATTTACATGTTTTTCTTTCGTTCCAGTTTCACCTGTAAAGCGTGGTCAGTGTCCTCCTCTGACCAATGGTACTATTGGAATATGCTTGGAGCAGTGCTCAGATGATACAGAGTGCTCAGGAAACAGGAAATGTTGTTCTAATGGCTGTGGACACACCTGTCAGAATCCTGGTACATTGTCTTCACAACTTCATCTGTAGTCTTATATAATACGTAAAGTGGTGGGGTTTGTTTTAGGTAACCTGGCCCCACTTGTATAAAACATCTCAACTTGAGATTTCCTCAAGTCGAGATTTTCCTCAGCTGATATCTCCTCAAAATTTTCTCAAGGAACAGGAGGAAGGCATCGGCTAGGATGTCCTGAAATTCCTTGAGGAATTTTCATACAAGATATTTTCAAGGAGATATTAGCTGAGGAAAATCTGGGCTTGAGGAAATCTCAAGTTGAGATGTTTTATACAAGTGGGGCCTGGTGACCTATTGTGATAGCCATTTGTCCAGAATCGTGTGTCATGCATTCATAAACTTTTAACATCTTCTCAAAACCCCTGAAATGATTTCAATTAAATTTTGCAGAAACTTCTACTGGCTAAACATGACCCAAAATAATGAATTATATTGGCCCACAACCCTAGGGGCTGAGGGGCAGGGCCAAAATGGCTCAAATTTCAAAAATCTTCTTCTCAAACACCCAGATATGGAAGAATCAAATTCTCTTCATAAATGGAAGGGTTTTAAGGTGCTTTATCAGAATTGTTAATTTCATGACCCCAGGGTGTCACATTTCCTCCCAAGGAGGAGATAAAATGTGCTATAGTTTATTTTTTGATTTTACAATTCAGTTTTTGTAGCTACCTCTTTTCTGATTTGTTTCTTTGATTTAATATTATATCTTTTTATCTGTTACGTTTCAAATTGTTTGTAATTAAGAATAAAATTAAAGAAGAGAAAAAAATCCAACTTTGAAAGAACAACTGAACATTAACCAATGGTGGGTACAGAGATTTCTCTGGGATCTCTTAGAGTATATAGTACTTATTGTAGATAATATGTTGTTGCATTCCAGTTGCTACAGTAAATCCTGGTGAGTGTCCCATTATGCCTCCTGGAAATGTTGGAGCATGTGTTGAGGAGTGCTCAGACGATGATGACTGCCCAGTAGTTCAGAAGTGCTGCTCTAATGGTTGTGGACATGTCTGTCTTCCTGTCTGTAAGTCTGTTTAGAGAGACATTCTCCAAACCGACACTACATGAGAAATGAACATTTGATTGATTTAGGGCATGTTTGGTTTACAGAAGTGGCATTAACTGATCAAAAGCACTTTTAACATTTATAATTCACAATTTTTAAATTCAGAAAGAAATTTTATAGAATAAAAGTATTTCGATACATTCAATACATCAATACAGGTTATACAACATTATTTCACTAGAGAAAAAGATGTACACTAGTACTTGCATTGTATGTCCCCTGGCTACCTGTGCCAGTAGTAAGTCTGTCAAAGGGGTCAGAATTCTAAATGAGATATAAATATTACTGTAGGAGTGAGATATAAATTTTACTGAAGGAATTCTTAGTGAGTGGTAATTCAGTGACTTGCAAACAGTGTAGAGCTGACCGCTCCAAGAGACAAAACCGAAAGAGATAACTTTTGTTCTGTGCCTAAGATAATGGATATGGGCTGTGTGGTAATATTTGGTGTATTCCTTGTATGTAGCTACAAGGCCTGGCCAGTGTCCTGTAATGACTGAGGTGGGAGAGAATGACCCCACACCTTCATGTTCAATACAGTGTAGCTCTGATGACGATTGTACAGCTGGACATCGCTGTTGTGATCATACTGTCTGTGGACCAATGTGTCAGCCTGTCACAGGTAAACAATGAAGGTTGTGACAAACCTATGACAAATAAAATTAAAGCAGAAACCATACTGTCACAACATCGAGGGTGAAATATAATTAGATTTTAGATAAGGTCAAAGTATCTGAGTTGTAACTGCTTTAAATTTCGAGAGAGAGATTTAAACGGAATGAGGTAATCTTGTATATGCTGATGACGGATATATGATGATGGGGATAGGGATGTATGTGAGCCTAAGGTCACTGTCATACTATAGCACTACTGGAAGGTTTCCAATAACTTTGTCAGGAAGGAAACTCACAGGAAGTTTTCTTACATATAATACTATGGTTCACTGAACTGCCAGAAGCTGAAGAAAGCTGGTTCAACTTTTATCAACTATAATTGGAGAAGGATGATATTAGTCTGAGGACTATTGCCTTGATGTCCGAATTAAGAGAACTTGAGAAAAAGAATACAACTACAGCTACAGAATTCTTTGAGATTTGTATATGTTTGTTACCTAGACAGAGAGCTGTTAATCTGAGGTACCGATATGACAAGGATGTGTAAGCTGGAAACATAAAGCTGTGTAGTCAAGGTTTCTTAATTGGAATTGGATTATTCATAGAATTGAGAGAAAAAATGAGAAAAAAATGGAACAACACAATTTAAAAATAGATGTATTTATCATAAATTCACCTGGTCCATAAAATGGCTACTAGTCATGAAGGAATAAGTGAATTTGACCATATTTGGTCAGAAGTTTCCCAAGTATGAAGGGTGAACCAATTACATTAATGTATGTGTAAAAGGAGTGTCTCAGCCCCTAAGGCCAGAATTGGGATATTTAGCAAATTCAAAGTCCTTGAATTAAGTATAAATGATGGGTCTTAGTTCAATAGGGAAAATAAAGCAAGGTCTTTAAAACTTTCTTTTGTGCGAACGCCAAAATTCTATCATAGTTGGGTCTTAAGGATCCTTGGGTGAATGGGAATCACATTTGTATGGAACTGAAAGATGGAGCTGAAAAGGGAAAATTTAACCAACTTATAAATATCTGTTTTTTTTTTATAAGAATGTAATTTTTTTATTAAAACTTGGTTTGAAGCATTCTTTGATGAAGGTGACTCAACTTAATATGAAATGTAGGACTGAAGACTGAGGGTCTGGTCCAGGGCAGATAGATGTAATCTTTGAAATTCAGACTATCTAGGGTCTGCAGAGTGGCAGCATCCAAAATATAGGAGACTGAGGTCAAAGTTCAAAGTCAATCTTTTTCTGCTTGAATTAAAGTATTTTGTTGATAAATATTTGAAAACTTAAAAATTCCTCATCTTTAGGGGAAATGAATTGTAAATAAAACTATTCTGAAGGGAAGACTGCAATATGGATTATGATCACTTTAGTAGACAATTTAGGTTAAATGTGATAACCATGTGGGTGTTTAAGATAAAAACACCTTCTTCCAGCAGTTCAGGTAAACGGATCAGATTGTCTTTGTCTTCAGTACATGGAGTTTGCCTGTAAAGCAACTAAAGCCATCTTTCTACCAATCACCTGTAGCTTAAAAGTAAATATATACATATATAAGGCTATCCAATTTAAAATCATCATCATGCTTTCTATATGCCATTTTGTGTACTTGAAAATCAATGTTGCATTATGACTGTAAGATTTTTAATTGCCTCAATTGATATCAAATGATATATTTACATGTTTTTCTTTCGTTCCAGTTTCACCTGTAAAGCGTGGTCAGTGTCCTCCTCTGACCAATGGTACTATTGGAATATGCTTGGAGCAGTGCTCAGATGATACAGAGTGCTCAGGAAACAGGAAATGTTGTTCTAATGGCTGTGGACACACCTGTCAGAATCCTGGTACATTGTCTTCACAACTTCATCTGTAGTCTTATATAATACGTAATGTGGTGGGGTTTGTTTTAGGTAACCTGGTGACCTATTGTGATAGCCTTTTGTCCAGAATCATGTGTCATGCATTCATAAACTTTTAACATCTTCTCAAAACCCCTGAAATGATTTCAATTAAATTTTGCAGAAACTTTTACTTGCTAAACATGACCCAAAATAATGAATTATACTGGCCCAAAACCCTAGGGGCTGAGGGGCAGGGCCAAAATGGCTCAAATTTCAAAAATCTTCTTCTCGAACACCCAGATATGGAAGAATCAAATTCTCTTTATAAATGGAAGGGTTTTAAGGTACTTTATCAGAATTGTTAATTTCATGACCCAAGGGTCTCACATTTCCTCCCAAGGAGGAGATAAGATGTGCTATAGTTTATTTTTTGATTTTACAATTCAGTTTTTGTAGCTACCTCTTTTCTGATTTGTTTCTTTGATTTAATATTATATCTTTTTATCTGTTACGTTTTCAAATTGTTTGTAATTAAGAATAAAATTAAAAGAGAAAAAATCCAACTTTGAAAGAACAACTGAACATTAACCAATGGTGGGCACAGAGATTTCTCTGGGATCTCTTAGAGTATATAGTACTTATTGTAGATAATATGTTGTTGCATTCCAGTTGCTACAGTAAATCCTGGTGAGTGTCCCATTACGCCTCCTGGAATTGTTGGAGCATGTGTTGAGGAGTGCTCAGACGATGATGACTGCCCAGTAGTTCAGAAGTGCTGCTCTAATGGTTGTGGACATGTCTGTCTTCCTGTCTGTAAGTCTGTTTAGAGTGACATTCTCCAAACCGACCCTACATGAGAAATGAACATTTGATTGATTTAGGGCATGTTTGGTTTACAGAAGTGGCATTAACTGATCAAAAGCACTTTTAACATTTATAATTCACAATTTTTAAATTCAGAAAGAAACTTTATAGAATAAAAGTATTTCGATACATTCAATACATCAATACAGGTTATACAACATTATTTCACTAGAGAAAAAGATGTACACTAGTACTTGCATTGTATGTCCCCTGGCTACCTGTGCCAGTAGTAAGTCTGTCAAAGGGGTCAGAATTCTTAGTGAGATATAAAAGTTACTGTAGGAGTGAGATATAAATATTACTGTAGGAGTGGGATATAAATATTACTGTAGTAGTGAGATATAAAAATTACTGTAGGAGTGAGATATAAATATTACTGTAGGAGTGAGATATAAATATTACTGTATTACTGTAGGAGTGAGATATAAATATTACTGTAGGAGTGAGATATAAATATTACTGTAGGAGTGAGATATAAATATTACTGTAGGAGTGAGATATAAATATTACTGTAGGAGTGAGATATTACTGTCGGAGTGGGATATAAATTTTACTGTAGGAATTCTTAGTGAGTGGTAATTCAGTGACTTGCAAACAGTGTAGGGCTGACCGCTCCAAGAGACAAAACCGAAAGAGATAACTTTTGTTCTGTGCCTAATATAATGAATATGGGCTGTGTGGTAATATTTGGTGTATTCCTTGTATGTAGCTACAAGGCCTGGCCAGTGTCCTGTAATGACTGAGGTGGGAGAGAATGACCCCACACCTTCATGTTCAATACAGTGTAGCTCTGATGATGAATGTCTAGCTGGACATCGCTGTTGTGAACATGCTGTCTGTGGACCAATGTGTCAGCCTATCAGAGGTAAATAATGAAGGTTGTGACAACCATGAATTGTAGTGTAAAAAGTTGCTGTTGAGTTTCTTATTATTCTGAATATTTAAGTACTTTTGAAACTATTTAAAGTGATGCTTGTTAACAGCTTTAAATAAATTTCTTTTCTCTTGAAACAAACATAGATACAAACAAGTTTTTACAAAAATACAATACATATTTTTATCTCCACTCTTGTAGAATTTATAACTGATTGGAAATGTTCTCAAAAATCACACAATATGTTCTTAGTGAGATATAAATATTATTATAATAGTTCTTAGTGAGATATAAATATTACTGTAGGAATTCTTAGTGAGTGGTAATTCAGTGACTTGCAAACAGTGTAGGGCTGACCGCTCCAAGAGACAAAACCGTAAAGAGATAACTTTTGTTCTGTGTCTTAGATAATGGATATGAACTGTGTGGTAAAGACAAACCCCTGGAATATAAGAATGGTACTGCCCTGTATTGTAGTAGGGGTGGACAACAGTGTCCACGTGACTCTGTCTGTACAATAGAAGGAAGTGATCAATATGGTGTCTGTTGCCCAAGTAAGTAGCTATTTGTTACACAAAGATAGAATTAATTTGGCTGTTGCTATAGCTGTAATCATCAGTAAGGTGACAGGTTTTCTCTGATGTTAAAAAAACCTGTCCGCTGAATATAAAGGAATTACCATCAAAATAAAAAATGTAACTACTAAGATAAATGTAAAATTAAAGTAAGAATTTTTATTCTCTGACACTTTTGTGGGTGTTTTACCTGTCATATAAAACTTGACTAATTTTTAACATGTATGTGAATTTAGACATTGGTATTAAGTATCTGAATGGTAACTTTGTAATCCGACAACCAGAGCATTATATTATTGGGGAATTAGAAGGCAGCTATATGACCCAATATAATTTTATCTGGCAGCTACTGCTTATAAAGAGAAGAAGATGTGTGCTAACTTCCGAGGTGGTTACCCTATGCGTTTTCGTAATGGTACCTACTATGACTGCAGTAATGGGAAGGACTGCCCCTATAATTCACGATGTATGACGGACAAGAATGGGACCTATGCTGTATGCTGTAGTTGTAAGTATCAGCTCTCTTAACTCTCTTGTCCTTATATATACACTGGAGGAATGGACATTTTTTTCCCCAAGTTATTTCACAATTATCATGTCTGTCACTTCCTTACCCTGTAACAGAATCCTTTCTTTTTCTAGTTGCTGGTGGTGATGACAAACCTTGTAACTACTTCCGAGGGGGAGAAGAAAGAAAATACCCAAATGGCACCTCTCTGTTTTGTGGTCGTGGCCCCCACAGTGTGACCTGTCCATCAGACACTAATTGCACCATCCACCCTACTGATCGTTTTGCTGTGTGCTGTCCAAGTATGTTTACAGAGTTTAAAGGGTTAACAGCATTATATTGGTGCACAGACCATTAAACTATTGTTGTAAAACCATAATAGTGGGGTTCATATTTTATGGTATTTTATAAAAATATATTTTATGGTATTTCATAAAAATATATATAGCTCACTACTACTTATACATAATTTTATATACTAATTTAAAAAAAAAAAAAAAAAATGTTAATGTGCATATTATTTTTTCAATTAAGATACTCAAAAAAAACAACATAAAGAAATCCCTTACAAATTTGAATGATTTCACAGTATTCCTCCCTCCTGGAATAATTCTGTACATGGCTATATGTTCAAACAATATAAGGACGTACCCTGTCGTTATTCCTCACAGGTTTTTACAACACTGTTTGTATCTGCAGTTAGCAAATGTAAATAATAGCCACAAGTTGAAACTTGAATAAGTCTTGAAGACAATTTAGTGAATGTCAAGATCTCCAAACTTTAGTTCATTTTCCCTCCCAGAAAATGCATCCAAGCCAGGCACATGTCCAAAAACAGATGAGGTTACTACAGAAAAGAATGGAGACACATGTGCTGATGTCTGCACCGTAGACACTGACTGTGATGGACATATGAAGTGCTGTTCAAGAGGATGTGGCCTCACCTGCCAAAAACCAGGTGAGATCAATCAAATATCATCCTCTTCTTTACTGAGGTAGAACCCTAACTTATTATAAATCATATCTAATGATGACATTCAAAAATAATTTATAGACTTTAATTTTCATTCAATGATAAGACAGCATGTGGACAGACAATTAATTGACTATAGTCCTCATTCTTTGGACAGACTATTAATTGACTATAGCTCTCATTCTTTGGACAGACAATTAATTGACTATAACTCTTCTTCTGCTCTCATTCTCTCTATAGCTCTCATTCTTTGGACAGACTATTAATTGACTCTAGCTTAATTGACTCTAGCTCTCATTCTTTGGACAGACAATTAATTGACTATAGCTCTCATTCTTTGGACAGACAATTAATTGACTATAGCTCTCATTCTTTGGACAGACAATTAATTGACTATAGCTCTCATTCTTTGGACAGACAATTAATTGACTATAGCTCTCATTCTTTGGACAGACTATTAATTGACTATAGCTCTCATTCTTTGGACAGACTATTAATTGACTATAACTCTCATTCTTTGGACAGACTATTAATTGACTATAGCTCTCATTCTTTGGACAGACAATTAATTGACTATAGCTCTCATTCTTTGGACAGACAATTAATTGACTATAGCTCTCATTCTTTGGACAGACAATTAATTGACTATAGCTCTCATTCTTTGGACAGACAATTAATTGACTATAGCTCTCATTCTTTGGACAGACAATTAATTGACTATAGCTCTCATTCTTTGGACAGACAATTAATTGACTCTAACTCTCATTCTTTGGACAGACAATTAATTGACTATAGCTCTCATTCTTTGGACAGACAATTAATTGACTATAGTCCTCATTCTTTGGACAGACTATTAATTGACTATAGCTCTCATTCTTTGGACAGACAATTAATTGACTATAGCTCTCATTCTTTGGACAGACAATTAATTGACTCTAGCTCTCATTCTTTGCTCTGACAATCAATTGTCAATATCTCTAATTCTTTGGACTTACTATTAATTGACTATAGCTCTCATTCTTTGGACAGACAATTAATTGACTATAACTCTCATTCTTTGGACAGACAATTAATTGACTATAGCTCTCATTCTTTGGACAGACAATTAATTGACTATAACTCTCATTCTTTGGACAGACAATTAATTGACTATAGCTCTCATTCTTTGGACAGACAATTAATTGACTATAGCTCTCATTCTTTGGACAGACAATTAATTGACTATAGCTCTCATTCTTTGGACAGACAATTAATTGACTATAGCTCTCATTCTTTGGACAGACAATTAATTGACTCTAGCTCTCATAGCTCTCATTCTTTGGACAGACAATTAATTGACTCTAACTCTCATTCTTTGGACAGACAATTAATTGACTATAGCTCTCATTCTTTGGACAGACAATTAATTGACTCTAACTCTCATTCTTTGGACAGACAATTAATTGACTATAGCTCTCATTCTTTGGAGTCGAGCGACAATAATTGAATGTCTATATATGTCTCCTTCAGTAAAGAGAAAGCCCAAAACAGATTGTCAGAAGAGACAGATGAAGGTAGCTATGTCTTTACTGACAGAAGGAGATGTATGTGCCAGTGTGTTCATCCCAAGGTATTTATACACCAGTTTAAACGCTTTAAGTTTTATAGTCTCTTGTTATTGGTTCTAGTAGAGGTAATTTCAGCAAGTCCATCAATTTTGTGTTGGTTTCGTTGACAGATGTGATCGTAATGGTAACTACAGTCGCACTCAGTGTCAGGACAACACAGGTGTGTGTTGGTGTGTGTACTCTAATGGTACAGAAATTCCGAATACCAGGAGGATTGGACGACCCCAATGTGGTAAAGGTAGGTACTAGAGAGTGATGAATGGTGATGAGTATGAAAGCTAGGCTAGTAATTATGTTGATACTTACAGGTTTTTGTGGGGTTTGAATTTGAAGAAGTCTTTGAGAATTGATAATATTTGGTGTATTTCTTGTATGTAGCTACAAGGCCTGGCCAGTGTCCTGTAATGACTGAGGTGGGAGAGAATGACCCCACACCTTCATGTTCAATACAGTGTAGCTCTGATGACGACTGTCTAGCTGGACATCGCTGTTGTGAACATGCTGTCTGTGGACCAATGTGTCAGCCTATCAGAGGTAAACAATGAAGGTTGTGACAACCATGAAATGTAGTGTAAAAAGTTGCTGTTGAATTTCTTATTATTCTGAATATTTAAGTACTTTTGAAACTATCTAAAGGTGGTGCTTGTTAACAGTTTGATCAATAGTTGTCCTATAATCATCAGATAATTGACATGGAAAGTGTTGAATGATAATTTTTATACAGAGTGATCCCTAAATTCTGTGACATATACCAACAGCACTTTTAGATGGTCCGAGTGTAATGATCACTTTAACATAGATACAAACAAGTTTTTACAAAAATACAAAACATACTTTTATCTTCACTTTTGTAGAATTTATAACTGATTGGAAATGTTCTCAAAAATCACACAATATGTTCAATGTGATGTCCTTTCTGTGAAAATGATGATGTTGAGCCTTTTCTTTGTTGTGTCCTTGCAGATTTCAACCGAAATTCTGTACATTTCTCTCCTAATTGCAGTCTTGAGTTCTTGCACGCTTTCTGGCGTGAGATTGTACACTCTATCCTTTAAATAACCCCAAAGAAAAAGGTCCAACGGATTCAGATACAAGGAGTAGGGAGGTCATTCACAATTTGTCCAGTAGGGAAGAAACTTTCCTTGAAATGTTTCTGGAAGTTAACACTACTATTAATGTGTTTAGCATTACTGGAATTACGTAGCTTGAATTAGCCAGTCCCATATTTTCAATGTCACTTAGCACTTTTCTAACTGGACTCCCTGGAGTTTACGATGTAATTTTCTGAACAGCCTCAATGTTCTCGGCGCACCTGCTAGTCTGTGGAACTCCTTATTTCTTGTGTGTTTTGTATTCCACAGATCCTGTCTGCTGGAATTTCTATACAAATCTGTAGATTTGTTGCTTTGATAGTTTTGCCTACTTTGGGTACTTCTTTTGCATGGTACAGATCACTGTTGCTGGCAAATGATTTTCAAAATAAAGTTGACTATCTCTTCAGCCTTCCTATTTTGTGACGCCATTTTGGAAAAAAACTACAATCAGATGACATCATAACATCATGGCTGTTCATATTTCCTGTTTTTCCATCTCGCACAAAACTATAAACATAGCAGGTTAAATTAATACTTTACTGAATAATCTATCTTGAGATATTAAAAAGATATGTCGCCATGAAATGTACACAATTTATGGGATCACCCTGAACATGTGAAAATATATCAGATGGAAAATTTCAATTGATCAGTAAGTTCTTAATTTCTTGAAACCTTTTCATAATTTTGAATTTGATTTCTTTTGTAGAAAATCCAGAGCCTGAAAGTAAGTATTTTGATTAAATAATACTCATTTACAAAATACTTTTAATGACAATCACAGCAATGTATTTTCTGTTGTTTCTTTTATAATTTTATATCTGTATATATGGTAGCAGTATGTGATTGATGTCATCGTTATTCGGTATTTCATTTGTTGTATTGATTTTAAGGTATTAAGAAATACGGTTATATGATTGATATAAATTTTTTCCAGTGTGTCCAGCTGGGGTGAAGGCTATGTGCTGCGACTTCCTTCAGTGTGTCGACCATATGTGTCCTGCACATCCATGGGCAAAATGTCGAATGAACCCGTGTGGAGGCTGTCGTGTGGAGTTTTACGACAAATATAGCAACAAAGTCAATTGTACAGAAGGTATCTAGAAATTCATTCAGAATCGTTTTTTACGATTTTTAACATCTAATAAAGCTCAGCTGTTACATAAATATGATATTAAGGTTTATTTAGATAGGTGAACAAACTATTAATATGGTAAATGGGTTGAAAAATTTATATCAAAGTTATGTAACAATGAGATTATTTATTGAAGATATATAAAGAAAATAACTCGATATACTGAAGGAAGAGAATATTTACATTTTTCTTTGTTTCGTTTTTTTCATTGTTTACTAAAAAAAAAGACAAAATAAAAATGGAAATTGCTTATAAACCAAACTTATATTTTCAATGACTATTCCAGTGAAAATTGAGGATCGATAAATGTAATTAAGAAAAAAAAAAGAAAAAATATTTAGATCATATATTGTATTTCATTACAGGTATGACCCCATGCCAGTTACAGCGGATGAATGCACACATGAGGAAAAGTAATGCTACACGCAAAGAACGCATCTGGAAATACATATATATGATCAAACAAGAGGAGGAAGGGGTCAAACGAGAGGAAAAAGAAACTACCAAGTCTGAGGACACAATACCAAAGATAGAGGAGACAGGTAAGATATAGACCACAAGACCTGAGGAGACAGGTAGGATATAGACCACAAGGTCTGAGGAGACAGGTAGGATATAGACCACTAGACCTGAGGACACAATACCAAAGATAGAGGAGACAGGTAAGATATAGACCACAAGGTCTGAGGACACAATATCAAAGATAGAGGAGACAGGTAAGATATAGACCACAAGACCTGAGGAGACAGGTAGGATAAAGACCACAAGAGCTGAGGAGACAGGTAAGATATAGACCACAAGATCTGAGGACACAATACCAAAGATAGAGGAGACAGGTAAGATATAGACCACAAGATCTGAGGACACAATACCAAAGATAGAGGAGACAGGTTAGATCTAGACCACAAGATCTGAGGACACAATAACAAAGATAGAGGAGACAGATAAGATATAGACCACAAGACCTGAGGACACAATATCTCGGATAGAGATTTATACAAATCTTGGATTGTTGGTCTGTAAAATATAGTATTTGGTTGTTAAAGTTTGTTTAAATTTTTTCCTGTTTTATGTCCATCATTTTGCTGTTGTGTGTAAATAAAGTGAAGAGACAATCATTACAATGATGGGTTAATGTTTACAGATAAGATGGATGAAGTGTGTAGTCTGCCAATGGAGAAGGGTCCCTGCAAGGCCTATATCTATAGATACTATTATAATCACACTCAAGGCCTGTGTATGAAGTTTAAGTATGGTGGCTGTAATGGGAACAAGAACAACTTCGAGGATTCAGACACGTGTTATAAGACCTGTTCTCCCTATAAAGGTAAACTCCATACTTTAGCTAAATCTTTTGGAATATCAATGGCAATAATGTAAATATCTCCCGTGAAATACATTTACAGGGGATATTAATTTGGACTCCCTGCGAGCATGTGTCCATCCGTCCGAAGCATTTACAGACTATAACTTAAAAACCGTTTGACTCAACTTCACTAAACTTTCTGCAAATATTAAGTTAGTGCCCTAGTTGTGCCTTTTGCTATTGATGACATTTCTTTTTTTATATGCCGCCGGAGGCAGTCATACATTGGCGTCATCTCGTCCGTAGAGTCGTACATCCGTCCGTATGTCCATTTCTTGTTGGTCTGTAAAATGGCCTTGTAAACTGATCATCAGATTTTCACGAAACTTGCTCAATGTCACTACTACAATGGGTAGATTTGCATGAAGGGGCGATTTTTTGGTTCATTGATTTTTGAAAGATTTATGCCATTTTCAACTTTGTATCTGTAACTTGCTCATAGTGGAGCCTTGTGAACGCAACTCCTCCTAAACTGATCATCAGATTTTCATGAAACTTGCTCAATGTCACTTCTACAATGGGTAGATGTGCATTAAGGGGCGATTTTTCTGTTCATTGATTTTTGTGAGATTTATGATACAGACATGTTAAAAGCGATAATTAAAAGGACAAATCTTGATCTTTATATTTTTTGGCGGCGTACATTGTGTCCACAACACTCTTGTTTTATATTTTTTATTCTACCATGGAAACTTCACAAAACACAAAACCCGTTTTAATATTCCTTACACTTGTCTACAACTTTGAAACCATTCCACTCAAATACACTACATTTTCTGTGTATATTAGGTAAGTGCCCTAATTAAATTTTTTTTTTCTGTTACCATGGAAAAGGATAACCCTAATCTCATAAATTTCAGTTTTTCTGGACCATTGCTCTGAATCCATTCAAGATAATTGCTCAAAGGCTTTTAATTTTATTAAGCTAGTATTATCTTTTGCTATGGGGAAGTTTTACCCCAATTATCTCAGAAATCAGCACACTACCCAAATTATCTCAGGAATGAGCACACTACCCAAATTATCTCAGGAATGACCACACTACCCAAATTATCTCAGGAATGAGCACACTCCCCAAATTATCTCAGAAATTAGCACACTACCCAAATTATCTCATTAATGAGCACACTACCCAAATTATCTCAGGAATCAGCACACTACCCAAATTATCTCAGGAATGAGCACACTCCCCAAATTATCTCAGAAATCAGCACACTACCCAAATTATCTCATTAATGAGCACACTACCCAAATTATCTCAGAAATTAGCACACTACCCAAATTATCTCAGGAATGAGCACACTCCCCAAATTATCTCAGAAATCAGCACACTACCCAAATTATCTCATTAATGAGCACACTACCCAAATTATCTCAGGAATCAGCACACTACCCAAATTATCTCAGGAATTAGCACACTACCCAAAAATTTCTCAGGAATTAGCACACTACCCAAAAATTTCTCAGAAATTAGCACACTACCCAAATTATCTCAGAAATCAGCACACTACCCAAATTATCTCATTAATGAGCACACTACCCAAATTATCTCAGAAATTAGCACACTACCCAAATTATCTCAGGAATGAGCACACTCCCCAAATTATCTCAGAAATCAGCACACTACCCAAATTATCTCATTAATGAGCACACTCCCCAAATTATCTCAGAAATTAGCACACTACCCAAATTATCTCAGGAATGAGCACTCTACCCAAATTATCTCAGGAATGAGCACACTACCCAAATTATCTCAGGAATGAGCACACTACCCAAATTATCTCAGAAATTAGCACACTACCCAAATTATCTCAGGAATGAGCACTCTACCCAAATTATCTCAGGAATGAGCACACTACCCAAATTATCTCATTAATGAGCACACTACCCAAATTATCTCAGGAATGAGCGCACTACCCAAATTATCTCATTAATGTGCACACTCCCCAAATTATCTCAGGAATTAGCACACAGAAGTTGTGCCGCTTTTTTGACAAAAATTAATTTCGAGACAAGAAATTTCTTCTCCTTTGCTTTACAACTTATGGGACTGAAAAATCACTTTGACTCAATAAAAATCTAGTAATCCCAATTAAAATTACAAAGTTATAGAAGGAAAAAAATGAAATTTGGAAATTATTTCAACTCAAACGGAATTTCGACATGAGCGATTTAAAAACTTCTTTCAACAGTATATGCAAAAGAATTATTTGAAATAGAAATAATATCTGTATTTGGAAATTTATATTTGATAGCTGTGCCTCCATTCTGTGTGCCCAAACCACAAGTAGGTCCTTGTGAGGCCCTCATTCCGAAGTATTTCTACAATGTTACTGCGGAAAAGTGTGAAATGTTCTACTGGGGTGGTTGTGGAAAAGACCTCACCAACAACTTTGACTCTAAGGACATTTGTATGAAAAAATGTGGTAAGTATGATACTCCTTCATTAACTACTCTCATTTTACATCATTGATACATGCTACTTACATTACAGCTACCCATGTTGATAGGTCTGTGAAATTTGGAATTTAAAGAGTATTTTCTTGATTTACCAAACTGGCCTAAAGCTTGCTATCAGCAGGTTATTAAAGAGTGTTTAAATAGTTACCTGTTTGTACAGGTAATGACAGAAACATGTTACAGGTGTATATAGATAGTTACCTGTTTGTAAAGGTGTGACAGAAATATGGAACAGGTGTATATAGATAGTTACCTGTTTGTAAAGGTGTGACAGAAACATGTTACAGGTGTATATAGATAGTTACCTGTTTGTAAAGGTGTGACAGACACATGTTACAGGTGTATATAGATAGTTACCTGTTTGTAAAGGTGTGACAGACACATGTTACAGGTGTATATAGATGGTAACCTGTTTGTAAAGGTGTGACAGACACATGTTACAGGTGTATATAGATAGTTACCTGTTTGTAAAGGTGTGACAGAAACATGTTACAAGTGTATGTAGATAGTAACCTGTTTGTAAAGGTGTGACAGAAACATGTTACAGGTGTATGTAGATAGTAACCTGTTTGTAAAGGTGTGACAGACACATGTTACAAGTGTATATAGATAGTAACCTGTTTGTAAAGGTGTGACAGAAACATGTTACAGGTGTATATAGAGAGTTACCTACACAGGTGTATATAGATAGTAACCTGTTTGTAAAGGTGTGACAGAAACATGTTACAGGTGTATATAGATGGTAACCTGTTTGTAAAGGAGACGGTCGTATATTGGCGTCATCTTCTCTGTCTGTACGTCCGTCCGTACATCCATTTGTTGTGAACGCAACTCCTCCTAAACTAATCATCAGATTTTCATGAAACTTGCTCATTGTCACTACTACAATGGGTAGATGTGCATGAAGGGGCGATTTTTTGGTTTGTTGATTTTTGTAAGATTTATGCCATTTTCAACTTTGCATCAGTAGCTTGCTCTTAGGCAACCATGATCTCAGGTCCCTGTCTCTTCCAGCTAAGCTAACTGGTCTCACAGACTTCATTTTGAGCTTATGTATACAGACATGTTAAAAGCGATAATTAAAAGGACCAATCTTGATCTTTATATTTTGTGGCGATATATATTGTGTCCACGGCACTCTTGTTATTGTTTTGCAAACATTTTTGTATTTGATCTTACATTTTCAGCTCCATTTGATGTTTGTCACGTAAGTGCCATTTTCTTTTTACTAGAATGAGCCCAAGGAATTATCCCATTCATGTTGCTATCATTAGAAATATTAATTATTGTTGGTGGAATAGTATAGTGCTCCGAATGGCAGTGTCCTATATCATTCACAGCAGTATAGTGTATACTGCACTGTAACTGAATCACCTTTTTCTTACTTTGTGAGTGAGCTTGGAGTGTTATCTTCTGTCATTATGATATCATTTTATTTTATATCAAATAAACTTGGACTTCAAATCTGTGAATAATTTCTAAGTGAAATTCAGCCTTGATTATTTTTCATATCCATTGCTTACCTTGGGTGTACAAATTTTTGCCATCCTCTGTTTATAAGTCACCACACCTGTTATTTAACACCTTTATTATCAATTTTGTACCTATTGTATGTCTTCATCAACTCTTGTTTCAGAGAAGGAATTGTGGGCCAGAGTATACATGTAAACCGACTGGTTACAACGAAGCTGACTGTATTCGTAAGTTTTTTTTTTCATAGCCCCAACAAGACACCAAATCACTCCTGAAAATGCTATCATGCTTTTACTTAAAAGTCCAGCCTAATTCTACATGGCTTTGTTTTGTAAAGTGTATGTGTGCAGAATACTGAATGAATTTAATATGATACACTCTAACAAAAAACTATTGAAAATTGGTATTTAACAGGATTATATACCTTGTATACCCAACATATATAAGCTACTCTAATTACTTAATACTTTGTGTCTTGCTGGCAACCAAAACACTATTAAATAAGCAGTTTTAATATTTTAATAACATATAGGGATATATAAGAAAATGTTTTATACACAGCCAAGAACCAGGTGCAGTCTGTGTTCCAGCCCTATGTACCCCGCTGTGAAAAGGATGGTTCCTTTTCTCCCCAGCAGTGCATTGGTGACACCTGTTGGTGTGTGGATAGTCTTGGTCGCCCTGACAACAACACCATCTCTATGGGATATGCCAACTGTACAGGTAAATAGTCAGAATTTCTTAACTGAAGCTCTGTATAGTTATTATGGTAAAAAAGCTGCAAATTGTCACCTGTTATCTTTCTTTCAAAATCGCTACAGTTAAACATACTCTATAATCTTAATTACAACAGTTTGTTTTTATATTGATAGGTTCTGACACTGGAGGACAAGCACCAAGTAAGTTATCATCTCAGGTCTACCCTCATCATCATCATCATCATCATCAACATAATACATTCATTATCATCATCATCATCATCATCATCATAGTACCCCTATTACATGTGCTAGTTTCTGTATAACTATTAAGTAGAAACACTCTGATCTCAGTATCCCTATTACATGTGCTAGTTTCTGTATAACTATATAACTATTAAGTAGAAACACTCAGATCTCAGTATCTCTATTACATGTGCTAGTTTCTGTATAACTATTAAATAGACACACTCTGATCTCAGTATCCCTATTACATGTGCTAGTTTCTGTATAACTATTAAGTAGAAACACTCAGATCTCAGTATACCTATTACATGTGCTAGTTTCTGTATAACTATATAACTATTAAGTAGAAACACTCTGATCTCAGTATCCCTATTACATGTGCTAGTTTCTGTATAACTATTAAGTAGAAACACTCTGATCTCAGTATCTCTATTACATGTGCTAGTTTCTGTATAACTATTAAATAGACACACTCTGATCTCAGTATCTCTATTACATGTGCTAGTTTCTGTATAACTATTAAATAGACACACTCTGATCTCAGTATACCTATTACATGTGCTAGTTTCTGTATAACTATGAAATAGAAACACTGATCTCAGTATCCCTATTACATGTGCTAGTTTCTGTAGAACTATTAAGTAGAAACACTCTGATCTCAGTATCTCTATTACATGTGCTAGTTTCTGTATAACTATATAACTATTAAATAGAAACACTCTGATCTCAGTATCTCTATTACATGTGCTAGTTTCTGTATAACTATTAAATAGAAACACTCAGATCTCAGTATCCCTATTACATGTGCTAGTTTCTGTATAACTATTAAATAGAAACACTCTGATCTCAGTATACCTATTACATGTGCTAGTTTCTGTATAACTATATAACTATTAAATAGAAACACTCAGATCTCAGTATCCCTATTACATGTGCTAGTTTCTGTATAACTATTAAATAGACACACTCTGATCTCAGTATCTCTATTACATGTGCTAGTTTCTGTATAACTATATAACTATTAAATAGAAACACTCTGATCTCAGTATCTCTATTACATGTGCTAGTTTCTGTATAACTATATAAGTATTAAGTAGAAACACTCAGGTCTCAGTATACCTATTACATGTGCTAGTTTCTGTATAACTATGTAACTATGAAATAGAAACACTCAGATCTCCGTATACCTATTACATGTGCTAGTTTCTGTATAACTATGAAATAGAAACACTGATCTCAGTCTCCCTATTAAATGTGCTAGTTTCTGTATAACTATTAAGTAGAAACACTCAGATCTCAGTATACCTATTACATGTGCTAGTTTCTGTATAACTATCAAATAGAAACACTTTGATCTTAGAACCCCAATTACATGTTTTATTGTAGTGTGCCCAGACAACACCCGACCAATGGTTTGTGAAGACAAGTGTCAGAAGATGACATGTGGTGGTCGCAGTGATGTCCAGTGTCTGATTAACCCATGTCAGGGCTGTCAAGTCAAGTTTGTGGATCAGGACAACAATGAAGTGAGCTGTGACGGTAAATACTTCATTCTCATCACCCAATCCCCATTATGTACTGATATTTCATGTTGTTAGATATGCACAAAGTTCCAGTCAGGAAAGAGGGCCGGACATAAATAGTCCTCTTTCTTTTCCCTTTTTTTTTCCCTTTAATGCTCCCCAAATATTTTTTGGGGATCATATAGTCGCCCCCATGCCTTTCCATCCATACTTTCATGTCCATAACTTTGCCCACAGTTAAGCAAGGATTCTGAACTTTGGTGTATACATTGGCCGTACTATGGGGATATGAAGCGTCCTTCAGGGCCCTTGACCCCTCAAGTTATTTCCCTTTGTTTAAAATAACTTTTCCTCAGCATAACTTAAAACAACAGTTAAGCAAGAATCATGGAGCTTAGTGAATACATTGATAATACTAAGACAATGTCCAGTGTACCAATTTTAGGGCCCCCAACCCCTCTATTACAGAGTTATTGCCCCTTGTTAGCATTTTGTGTCTGGAGTATTTCTTTGCTTGCATTCAAACTAGGATATTAAAACTTGATATATACATTAATCATACAAAAAAAACATGTTGCAGTGTAGCAAATCAGAGCCCATGATCCCTCAGTAATGAGTTATTGCCCTTTGTTAAAATCTTTTGTCAAGAATATGGCATTGCTGACTTTAAAACTACAAGCTTGAAACTAACTGTATTCTTTGGTTATATTAAGATAATATGCTGTACAGCAAATTAAGGGCCTGCAACCCTGAAATACAGAATTAATTTTCTCTGGTAAAATTTTGTGTCCTATAAAATTGCTTTCGGAGAGCAGTGATCAGTTTCACTAATACTCTTGTTTTTCCTAGCCAGGAGAGAATCTGGCCATGCCTCTATCCCTATAGGTATGAAACATTGCAAGTTGCATACTTTTGGTCCCAAGCATTACAGAAAAATTACCAAACATTGTTTGCTACATTGACTCGAGGGCTATCGGCCATATATCATACCACCTATATTACGAAAGACCTATGAGAGTTCAAAGGTATCATCTTTATTAAAGTCAGGAAACATATGTTGAAATTAGGACCGAGGGTTGAACGATACCCAGTTTTATTCTTTGCTCTATTCCACAACCAGGGTTGTATCATATTAGGATTTGTGGTTTGTTTAGATATGGAGACTGATTCATACTATCTTTCCAGACCATGGACGTTAATCAGTTTCACCTATTAAGATATCCCTTATTTTAACCCACATCTCCCCCTCTTTTACCCCCATATTTCCCCCTGTTTTATCACATATCTCCCTTATTTTATCACCCACATCCCACCCCCTATTTTACCCCAACCCCTCTCCCTCCAGTTTTACTACCAACATCTCCCCACCCCCCACCCCTCCTCTGTTTTACTGCTGACACCTCCCATTTGTTTGTTCTTATTCTGACCTCACATCTGAAAAGTTTATACATAAGATTGCTTGTCAAAATGTGTATTGCAAATGAATGTGTTGCATTTCAGTGGATCCTTGCGACATGAATGAGCCACAAATGATTGCCAAGCCAGCGGGTGGCTGTGTAAATGGAGCACGTAGATGGTTCTTCAAGAAGAGCACACAAACATGTGAAATCTTCAAGTATGCCAAAAACTGCTATGGCAAAGACACCTATTTTAAATCCCTGCTTGACTGTCAGAACAAATGTCGAGGTAATACATAACACCTTCAGTCTGTGAATTGTTTCCAATTCTAGTATTATAGCTCAAGAGTTACTTGTGTGAAAAAATGAAACCAGAATTCTTACCAAGAATGAATATGTTTTCTATCTAAAAGTGTCAGGAAAAAAAACTGATTGTATTTCTTTGTGAAGATGATTAAGATTATGGTTTCCTCTATAGGCTCCCCGTGCGGTGAGACTGGTGTGGTGAGGACCTGTACAAATGACTGTGCCAACATGACCTGTCAGTTTCACCCAGATGCCACCTGTAAAGTAAATCCATGTAATTGTGATGCACATTTCTATGACCCTGTCACCCTAGAGCCTGTCAACTGCTCTCAGTGTGAGTACCTATTAACTTTACACTTTGAACGAGTATAGCCTTTAGGGATTTAACCTTTGACCATTCTTATTCCAAAATGTTTAGCTAGTCTTACGCTGAAACACTTTATTGATACACTATAAAAGTATCTGATAGTCTGTCACATCTAGTGATAATCAATACTATACTGTAACCTTATGACCTATTGCCTTTTACCTCTAATGATTACTCTATGTTTGACTGATTAACATTTGACCTTTCATATCTGATAGTCATTCCATATCTTACATTTAACCTTTGACTTCTTGCCTCTGATAATATTCTTTTCTTGCTGTGTAGTATTTGACCAATGAAAGATTGAGTCTACTGGTAATATTTACTTTATTTCTCTTTGGTATTCAGTAACCACTCAGTGCCAGAAGAACCGTACTAAGGCATTTATGATGTACAGTGAGAGAGCTGCTGCTGGTACAGCCGACACAAACATCATCTTACCTCAGTGTAGAGAGGACGGATACTTCTCTAACCAGCAGTGTAATGAAACCAGCTTAATCTGCTGGTGTGTCAACGGTGCAGGCCAAGAGGTAGCGGGGACAAAGGTCAGGGTCAGCTCAACCAACTTAGACATCGGTTGTTGTGAGTATCATTTTCTAGCGTAGAAGTCAATAGTAGTGAGTATTATTATCAAATTAAGACACCAGTTGTAGTAAATATGGTTGTCTAACCTAGATATCAGTTGTGTGTATGGTTGTCTAACCTAGATGTCAGTTGTAGTAAGTATGGTTGTCTAACCTAGATATCAGTTGTATGTATGGTTGTCTAACCTAGATATCAGTTATGTGTATGGTTGTCTAACCTACATATCAGTTGTGTGTATGGTTGTCTAACCTAGATATCAGTTGTAGTGTGTATGGTTGTCTAACCTAGATATCAGTTGTGTGTATGGTTGTCTAACCTAGATATCAGTTGTAGTAAGTATGGTTGTCTAACCTAGATATCAGTTGTAGTAAGTATGGTTGTCTAACCTACATATCAGTTGTGTGTATGGTTGTCTAACCTAGATGTCAGTTGTAGTAAGTGTGGTTGTCTAACCTACATATCAGTTGTGTGTATGGTTGTCTAACCTAGATGTTGTCTAACCTAGATATATCAGTTGTAGTGTGTATGGTTGTCTAACCTAGATATCAGTTGTGTGTATGGTTGTCTAACCTACATATCAGTTGTGTGTATGGTTGTCTAACCTAGATATATCAGTTGTAGTGTGTATGGTTGTCTAACCTAGATATCAGTTGTGTGTATGGTTGTCTAACCTAGATATCAGTTGTAGTAAGTATGGTTGTCTAACCTAGATATCAGTTGTAGTGTGTATGGTTGTCTAACCTACATATCAGTTGTGTGTATGGTTGTCTAACCTAGATATCAGTTGTGTGTATGGTTGTCTAACCTACATATCAGTTGTGTGTATGGTTGTCTAACCTAGATATATCAGTTGTAGTGTGTATGGTTGTCTAACCTAGATATCAGTTGTGTGTATGGTTGTCTAACCTAGATATCAGTTGTGTGTATGGTTGTCTAACCTAGATATCAGTTGTAGTAAGTATGGTTGTCTAACCTAGATATCAGTTGTGTGTATGGTTGTCTAACCTAGATATCAGTTGTGAGTATGTGTCTAGTATGGTTGTATCAGTTGTGTGTATGGTTGTCTAACCTAGATATCAGTAGTGAGTATGGTTGTCTAACCTTGATATCAGTTGTAGTCATAAATTTAAGTGTGCTTTAAAAAAGCTAAACCATATGTGTAATTTTTGTTTTGTGTATGTGATAGCAATGAATTGAGTCACTGCATGTGTATCTCTTTTCCGAGGAACAGAGAAAGAGATAGAAATTTGCAAAGCTGTGGTCTATGAATTGAGTCACTGCATGTGTATCTCTTTTCTGAGGAACAGAGAAACAGAAATTTGCAAAGCTGTGGTCTATAACTTTATATTGTATTTTTGTATTGTAAATGATTGTATCTTTGTTTGACAGCGGACAACAATGTTACTGAAGCACTGGTCAGTCTAATATTTAACTATGACTTTAATCTGGTCCGAGGCAAGAAGGCAGCTTTCAAAGGGTAAGTGTGATTCCTATTTGGGCCTGCATGTATTTACTAACGGCGAGAATTCTATTTTGGTTTTTGTTAGTTGTAGGTTGATGAACATAGTATTCTTAATTGTTCCCATTAATGAAATTGTTATGCTCCCGGAAAGTATATAATAGCCGCCGCCTTGTCCATCCGTCCGTCTTTCCGTCAATTCTTTCTTGTGCGGAGCATAGTTTTGCCTACAATTAAGCAATGATCATGAAATACATTGGTCATACTAAGGAGCTGTGCAGTGTACCGAAGTCGGGGCTCTGAACCCCCTCAATTACAGAGTTATTGCCCTTTGTTAAATTTTTGTTGTCTCGAACACAACTTTAAATCGCTTGCATTTAAACTAGGATTATGAAACTTGATGCAAACATTGATCACTGTGTGCCAGGTTTAGGGCCCTCAACTCAAGAGTTACTACTTTTGTTGAAAATATCTTGTCCAGAGCATATCTTTGCTGGCATCTTAGCTTGGATCATACGAAGGCGATATTCAGTTGTGAATCAGGACTGTCTTTCCTGATGATGTGAACTGACAGTTGTGATTAGGACTGTCTATACTGATGATGTGAACTGACAGTTGTGATTAGGACTGTCTATACTGATGATGTGAACTGACAGTTGTGATTAGGACTGTCTATACTGATGATGTGAACTGACAGTTGTGAATTAGGACTGTCTATACTGATGATGTAAACTGACAGTTGTGAATTAGGACTGTCTATACTGATGATGTGAACTGACAGTTGTGAATTAGGACTGTCTATACTGATAATGTAAACTGACAGTTGTGAATTAGGACTGTCTATACTGATAATGTAAACTGACAGTTGTGAATTAGGACTGTCTATACTGATAATGTGAACTGACAGTTGTGAATTAGGACTGTCTATACTGATGATGTGAACTGACAGTTGTGAATTAGGACTGTCTATACTGATAATGTAAACTGACAGTTGTGATTAGGACTGTCTATACTGATGATGTGAACTGACAGTTGTGAATTAGGACTGTCTATACTGATGATGTGAACTGACAGTTGTGAATTAGGACTGTCTATACTGATGATGTGAACTGACAGTTGTGAATTAGGACTGTCTATACTGATAATGTAAACTGACAGTTGTGTATTAGGACTGTCTATACTGATAATGTAAACTGACAGTTGTGAATTAGGACTGTCTATACTGATAATGTGAACTGACAGTTGTGAATTAGGACTGTCTATACTGATGATGTGAACTGACAGTTGTGAATTAGGACTGTCTATACTGATAATGTAAACTGACAGTTGTGAATTAGGACTGTCTATACTGATAATGTAAACTGACAGTTGTGAATTAGGACTGTCTATACTGATAATGTGAACTGACAGTTGTGAATTAGGACTGTCTATACTGATGCTGTGAACTGACAGTTGTGAATTAGGACTGTCTATACTGATAATGTAAACTGACAGTTGTGAATTAGGACTGTCTATACTGATAATGTAAACTGACAGTTGTGAATTAGGACTGTCTATACTGATAATGTGAACTGACAGTTGTGAATTAGGACTGTCTATACTGATGATGTGAACTGACAGTTGTGAATCAGGACTGTCTATACTGATGATGTGAACTGACAGTTGTGAATTAGGACTGTCTATACTGATAATGTGAACCGACAGTTGTGAATTAGGACTGTCTATACTGATAATGTGAACTGACAGTTGTGAACTAGGACTGTCTATATTGATCGTGTAAACTGACAGTTGTAAATCAGGACTGTCTTTCCTGATGATGTGAACTGACAGTTGTGAATTAGGACTGTCTTTCCTGATGATGTGAACTGACAGTTGTGAATCAGGACTGTCTATATTGATCGTGTAAACTGACAGTTGTGAATTAGGACTGTCTATACTGATAATGTGAACTAACAGTTGTGAATCAGGACTGTCTATATTGATGGTGTAAACTGACAGTAGTGAATTAGGACTGTCTATACTGATGATGTGAACCGAAAGTTGTGAACTAGGACTGTTTAAACTGGCCATGTAAACTGACAGTTGTGAATCAGGGCTGTCTTTCCTGATGATGTGAACTGACAGTTGTGAATTAGGACTGTCTTTCCTGATGATGTGAACTGACAGTTGTGAATCAGGACTGTCTATATTGATCGTGTAAACTGACAGTTGTGAATTAGGACTGTCTATACTGATGATGTGAACCGAAAGTTGTGAACTAGGACTGTTTAAACTGGCCATGTAAACTGACAGTTGTGAATCAGGACTGTCTTTCCTGATGATGTGAACTGACAGTTGTGAATTAGGACTGTCTTTCCTGATGATGTGAACTGACAGTTGTGAATCAGGACTGTCTATATTGATCGTGTAAACTGACAGTTGTGAATTAGGACTGTCTATACTGATAATGTGAACTAACAGTTGTGAATCAGGACTGTCTATATTGATGGTGTAAACTGACAGTAGTGAATTAGGACTGTCTATACTGATGATGTGAACTGACAGTTGTGAATTAGGACTGTCTATACTGATATAGATCTCACATACCTTATGTGGGGGAGATTATTGTCAGTATCTAATGTTTCCTGGGTTTTTAGATCTCACATACCTTATGTGGGGGAGATTATTGTCAGTATCTAATGTTTCCTGCTTGTTAGATCTCACATACCTTATGTGGGGGTTTCCTGATTATTACCTTATGTGGAGTATCTAATGTTTCCTGGGTTTTTAGATCTCACATACCTTATGTGGGGGAGATTATTGTCAGTATCTAATGTTTCCTGCTTGTTAGATCTCACATACCTTATGTGGGGGAGATTATTGTCAGTATCTAATGTTTCCTGATTATTGTCAGTATCTAATGTTTCCTGCTTGTTAGATCTCACATACCTTATGTGGGGGAGATTATTGTCAGTATCTAATGTTTCCTGGGTTTTTAGATCTCACATACCTTATGTGGGGGAGATTATTGTCAGTATCTAATGTTTCCTGGGTTTTTAGATCTCACATACCTTATGTGGGGGAGATTATTGTCAGTATCTAATGTTTCCTGCTTGTTAGATCTCACATACCTTATGTGGGGGAGATTATTGTCAGTATCTAATGTTTCCTGCTTGTTAGATCTCACATACCTTATGTGGGGGAGATTATTGTCAGTATCTAATGTTTCCTGGGTTTTTAGATCTCACATACCTTATGTGGGGGAGATTATTGTCAGTATCTAATGTTTCCTGGGATTTACCTTATGTGGGGGAGATTATTGTCAGTATCACATACCTTTCCTGGGTTTTATACCTTATGTGGGGGAGATTATTGTCATTCTAATGTTTCCTGGGTTTTTAGTATCTAGAAATGTTTCATCTACAAACATTTTGCTTGCAGAGTCATAAGGACAGCACTGGGACTCACATACCTTATGTGGTTATCAGGGTAAAAATTAATCTGTGGGAACAGAACTGTGCATCAGCATATTATCAATATCAACAGAAATGTTTATCTATAGGTTTTGTCCCCAAGTGACTGTCAGGTATCCGTGTGAACAGAAATGTTCAATTATGACATGGGTTATGTCCCCTCTGTCTGTAGGTAATTTTTAACTGAACAGTTGTCATGTATCAGCAGTGTTCTGGTGAAGGTTATGTCCTGTTTATTACTGTTGACTTCAATAATCTTGCATCTTTTCTATCCTGGGATATTTATTAAAGCCTTAATGTCATAGAACAACTTTCTTAGATTTACGATGAAGTTTGATAAAGAATTCTGTGGTTGTGTTTTTACCAAAAGTTGCGGGAGGGAAGTATTGTGGCAGATCTGACAGTGAACGGAGAAGCTGACCCAACTGCTGTGGCTACCGAGATCGAGGAAAATGTAAGATTTGATCTTCATGTTAAATCTACCCCTAATCCTGTATTTCATTTACCTGCCAAAATTGTCAAATTCGGTCACAAATATGCTGAAATGAATAGCTGTCAGGGCTGTTTAAATAAATGACCTATACTCTTTTTTAGTATCACACTGGTTGTTTGAATACTTTCTGATTAGCAAGGAGATCTTTGATTGTGATATTACTTAATGCGTGCTGGAAGGAAGGTCATCACAATTGTTCATAATGACATTCAACCAAATTGGCCTCGGATCATTTCACCATTAACAAACTGAAATAAAGGGAGATAAATCTGAGATCTCAACATAAAATGTCACAGATCGAAAAACAATTAAAATCATTCTAACTACCTTCTAATAAGTCTTGACAAATTCAATGAAAATAAACAAAGGTCCCACTTGAATGGGTTTGATCTTGCCCACTGTAATGAATATAAAAATTGAATTAATTGAGTTATGCAGTCACATTTTTGGTTGAAATGTATTTGTGAATGATGTTTAAAAAAACGACATATTGAAAGTTTATTGATATTATTGTTTGGTACAGGTGAAGACTGGGAGCCTGCAGGTTGTGTTTGAGGGAAATATACTGACAGCTGACCCGTCTAGTGTACGGACAGACTTTGTGTTCCAGGCTCAGACCGGCGATAAAAATGATATTCCCATTGTACGCCGAGATGGAGGGGACAACACAGCTGTCATCGCTCTTATCATCACTATTGTTGTTCTTGCTGCAATCTTGATAATTGTTGCTTTATTTGTAAGTTTTATAGTTTTCTCACCTAATCACAGGAATAGACTACCACTACGGTCCATCATGTATAATAGTAAAGGCAGATAACATGTAACTAGGTCATTAACAATGGAACATAACAGGTAAGTTGGTCAGTCATAGGTACATACAGTCAAGAATAAAAGGAAACTAAGTCAGTCATAATGGAACATAACAGGTAAGTAGGTCAGTCATAATGGAATATAACAGGTAAGTAGGTCAGTCATAGGTATATACAGTCAAGAATGAAAGGAAACTAGGTCAGTCATAATGGAATATAACAGGTAACTAGGTCAGTCACTGGTATATGCAGGCAAGAATTAAAGGTAACTAAGTCGATTACAATGGAACAAAACAGGTAAATAGGTCAATATCTGGTATATACAATGGAGGATAACAGGTAAGTAGGTCAATATCTGGTATATACAATGAAGGATAACAGGTAACTAGGTCAATATCTGGTATATACAATGGAGGATAACAGGTAAGTAGGTCAATATCTGGTATATACAATGAAGGATAACAGGTAAGTAGGTCAATATCTGGTATATACAATGAAGGATAACAGGTAACTAGGTCAGTCACTGGTATTCACAATGTAGGATAAAAGTTAACAACTAGGTCAATCTATGGTATTTACAATGATTGATAACATATAACTAGGTCAGTCACTGGTATATACGATTGAGTAAAGGGGACAGAATGTTTTAATCTTTGCCCTTGATATTGTGTTCAGGTAAATATTCAGTATTTTACTGGTAATAATTAAATGTTATCATTGAGTGGGGTAGATATCTCGACAAAAAAGATGTTATTGATCAATGTTCATCTTAGTTGATTCGTTGTCTTTTTTTTCCAGATCCTTCGCAAGAGATCGCAAGAAAAGAATGATTTCTCTAGTTTAGAGGTAAATTATACACAACTCCAGTCTATACCTAATGTATCCACTGATTTATGAGAGAGGCCTGCTGTAAAAACCTCCAATTACTAGCCCCATTATTCAACTTTGTCACTTCAGTGTGATATTTTGATATAGTTAATGATCAGATAGTTTAGGATAGAATTAAGGATCAGATTGTTTAGGATATAATTAATGGTGAGATTGTTTAGGATAGAATTAATGGTGAGATTGTTTAGGATATAATTAATGGTGAGATTGTTTAGGATAGAGTTAAGGATCAGATTGTTTAGGATAGAATTAATGATGAGATTGTTTAGGATAGAATTAATGATGAGATTGTTTAGGATAGAGTTAAGGATCAGATTGTTTAGGATAGAGTTAAGGATCAGATTGTTTAGGATATAATTAATGATGAGATTGTTTAGGATAGAGTTAATGATGAGATTGTTTAGGATAGGATTAATGATGAGATTGTTTAGGATAGAATTAATGATGAGATTGTTTAGGATAGAGTTAATGATGAGATTGTTTAGATAGAGTTAAGGATCAGATTGTTTAGGATAGAGTTAAGGATCAGATTGTTTAGGATAGAGTTAAGGATCAGATTGTTTAGGATAGAGTTAAGGATCAGATTGTTTAGGATAGAATTAAGGATCAGATTGTTTAGGATAGAGTTAAGGATCAGATTGTTTAGGATAGAATTAAGGATCAGATTGTTTAGGATAGAATTAATGATGAGATTGTTTAGGATAGAATTAATGATGAGATTGTTTAGGATAGAGTTAAGGATCAGATTGTTTAGGATAGAGTTAAGGATCAGATTGTTTAGGATATAATTAATGATGAGATTGTTTAGGATAGAGTTAATGATGAGATTGTTTAGGATAGAGTTAAGGATCAGATTGTTTAGGATAGAGTTAAGGATCAGATTGTTTAGGATAGAGTTAAGGATCAGATTGTTTAGGATAGAATTAAGGATCAGATTGTTTAGGATAGAGTTAAGGATCAGATTGTTTAGGATAGAATTAAGGATCAGATTGTTTAGGATAGAATTAAGGATCAGATTGTTAAGGATATAATTTATTATCAGATTGCCTCTGTGGTGATAAACAATCTTATTGTTAATTTTGGAAGTTATACATAGGTGGACATTTGGCTATGATAAGAGGTGTTGATTGGGATCAATCTTATGGGATCATTTTTATTGATCACTAAAATTCAATGTCAAAGTAGTACTTCTCCACATAAAAGTTTGAAGATTAATTCCCATCGCCTGTTTGTTTGCTACATTTTTTTGGTTCTCTCCCTTGTCATTTCCTTCTCCACCAGCCTCCCACACAGCATTAATTTTAGCACATGCTGGTGTTGGATTGATCACAATAAGCACAAGCCTTAAATTTTGTTGTGATTTTTTTATAAGGCCTCTAAAAAGAACAGATAGTGTTAGAATGATGTTCTCTCTGGAAAATAGAATGAAATGTAGATTTTTGTTCTTCCCAAAGCTAAAGTAATCAAATAGAAAAGATTATTAAGATATTATGCAAAGTAGGATGAGGGTTAGATTGAAATGAAATGTTTTGTGGATCAGTGTTTTCTTACATAAGCTCTTCATTAGTCTGTGCTTAAAATTTCAAATGTTTCTGATATTGTGCTTAAATATATTTGTGTCAAATTTCTTGTCCCAATACAGACATAGTGATGAAAATCTTGTAAGTTTTCTTGACAATATGCTTGATTATTCGTACAAAAACTTCCCTACAGACCAAGTTAATATATAAAACAACAAAAAAATAACATACCAGATATTGACTTCACTCTCAAACCTCTGTGTTAAAAAACTGGCAGCTTAGCTTGTTATTGATGAATGGTAAGTTCCATAACACACAGTTGACAGGGAGTCATTAAACAGAATAGAACACATAGCGGCCATATATATACATGTTAGCATGTATTGCCATTGGAAATTTTTTAAACATCAGGTTTAGTCAGAATAATGTATGTTAATTACAATTTAGATACAAAAGATGTGTGTTGAACAAAGCTATTTACAAGGGATTGGAGGGAAAGTGAATTTCAGACATAGTTTGGGCAGAGAGTTAAAAGGCTGAAAGTTGTAATGGTAGATCGTTGAAGGAAGTTGTCTTTTTACAGAATACAAACAGTCCTAACATCTTTTCCAGGAAATTGATAGGGGGTGGTCTTGTTAGGTTGAATTAGTATTGCTTTGAAGTATCAAATTATGTTGGGGTATAGTAGAATCATTGTTAGGATGGTCTAGTTAGGGCCCTTCCATTAATATCTTACATTTGTTGGAAAACAGATTTTTCCGTTATCAGCCTTTAGCTTCCATTTTATGTTGTTTTTTTTTTTTTTAAGCCCACCATCATGAGATGGTGGCTATTTAAATCGTCATACATCTGTGGCCTGTCCATTTGTCTGTAAACAGTTTTTGTTCTCTCGATTTCTTGAGAAGAACTGGATGGATCTTTCTCAAATTTCATATGTAGGTTTCCCTTTGTCCCTATTTGTGCCCATTTGATTTTGGATCTGAGTAGAAAAACAAAATGGCCTACAGGTGGCCATCTTGGATTTTGACTTTTGTACCTGTCTGATTTTGGGATTGATTGAAAAAAATAAAAAGGCTTACAGGCAGCCATCTTGGATTATGACTAGTGAAGATTGTTATCCCTATTTCTTGAGAACTACTGAATGGATCTCTCTCAAATTTCATATATATTTTTTCCATTTGGTCTCTACTTGTGCCTGTTTAATTTCGGGACTAATCAGGAAAAAGCACAATGGCTTTCGGGCAACCATTTTGGATTTGGCAGATAAAGATAATCATTGCTGTTTTTGAAAAGGAATATTCAAATTTATTATTATCAAGTGCAAAAACAGAGATGTGTAAGGAAAAGAAGGGAAAATATCCAACGTTCAGAGAGCAAATAAAGATCAAACATTGGTGGGTGCCAAGATCCCTCTGGGATCTCTTAGGTGTTTTTCTCGGAATCCCACACTTCACTTGTTCTATTAACCTTTGACCTCTGTATAACATGTTGTGCACAAGTTTCCAGTTTTACTAATGTGTTGTATTAACATTTTATCTTTTAACAGGACTCCGGGAATCGAGGCCACACGAATGCTGTATACAATCAGGTGTATGAGAAAACGTGAGTGTCCAGGTGTGTGTACATGTGTTACACCTAACCTTCACTCAGTCATTGGTGTCAGCTCAAAACTCTGCACATCTCTATATTTATAAGGGACCAGAAATTGAAAAAAAATCAGATTATTTTGTTCAATTTACTATATAGTTTATGAAGTTGATTGTTTCCCATAAATGGTTCAGACAACAGTATTCAGGAGTTTTGTATCTAGTTTACAATGTATGTGAGGTTCAATTCAACTTAATTCACCAGGAACGTTTAGGTGAGGTCATAAGGCAGATATCCCTCTCTATCAACTGGCTTGGTAGGGAGGAGATACAAGGATTTAGTATCAAGGTACTCTTCAATCTGTCAAGAGACAGGTCAAATGATTACAGTAGACCTCCATTATCTGAAACATTACCAGTACCTTGCAAAATCATTCCTCTCCAGAACAATGAAATACTTTATTTCTTGAGATTTGATAACAGTGAGCAAATTAACATTGAAACCGTTCAAAAAAGTCTTATACACATTTTTCTATTTTTTAATTTAGATTATCATTTGTGTACATAATTTCTTTGGGAATTTTTGTTATTGTTGATCATTCAACTTAGATCTATGTTGTTTAAAATGTCATGTAACTGTATATCAAGAATTGTTTTGTATATTTCTATAAGCATGCAAACACTCTGTAAAATAATCACGGATATTCTACAAAATTATTACGTAATTCTACAAAGAAGAGATGAAAGAACTTGTTGTCTTACACAGTATTTATCTAAAATCATTTTTAAGCAAGAGAAGTATGTACATTTTAGAAAGGCAGATCTGTTTATACTTCTGGTGTTAAGAAAGCTAGACTTCATTAAAATTTGTAGTTGTGTTAGACGTGTGTGAGATTGCCTTGCTATCCATTATAGGCGATGGTACAGTAGATGTGCAAGGTCTGTGGGTATGTGCTTCCTCTATCCAATCTTGTATATAATATATTTCTTCATATAGATTTGTTACAACACTTTGTATTTTTGTAGTATATTTTCCTTGAACCAGTTTCTATGTTAAAACTGGAGATGATTTATTACTGACATGTTGATACTGTGATCGTTAACTTACATTTAAACTCAAATCTACAAAGTATGTAGTTGGTTTACATATCAGTCCAATCCTGTTATATCCAGTATGTTGTCTACCAAGAGTTATGTCCCTTCCTTGTATCTACATTAGATGTTTAGTTACACATAAGCCACAGTGACTTATCAATTGACCCACAGCAGTTTCTATATATATATGGTAACACATTTATGCTAAATTTGACACACTTGGATAATCAGCTGCCAGTATACCTGAAAATATAGTGCTATATCACCCTTTATCAATATTCTGTTTGAAAATCATTGTACATGTCATTTTGGTCCAACTGTCAATTATTTTTGAAGTAGCTTCTCTGCCTGTGTTGGTTAACTTGACTATGTAGTATGATTTGCCAAGAATTTGAATTAAAACATGTTAAGTTGTTAGATCATTTCAATACTTTTAAGTTCGTAAAATAAGTCTCTCTTTCAAGGTGTTGCCTAATTAAGATTTCTGATATAATTGGTTGATTTATTTGAAACTCTTCATGTTTAGATTTAACAATTATAATAAATATGTCAAGTTGAAGAAGTCTATTCGATCATCTATGCTAACTAAACTGAAAAATTGTTTACCTAATCATTAAACTGTATAAGACAACACCCATGGACAAGGGAGATAAATCAGATGTTTCCTGTCATAATTCTATATATCCTGTATAATATTGATTAAACACTCATTCCGCGTTGTGAGGATTGTATAATACATATCATAAGTGTACTCAGCCTTGTTGTAGTCTTGTCTATTGTATTATTATAAGTAAAGGTTTATCTATATATTCTTACAGAAGGAGAAAATCATAAGATTGCCGTGTAATGCAATACTCAATTTTACTGTTGGTAACAATGCTGTACCATTTTCTAATTGTTTTGTTTTTTTTTTTTTTTTTTAATTTCCCCCTACTGGGGTAAATGTTGATGGTAGGGAATGAGAGATGTAAGCATTGTTTGAGTGTGTTCTGTTGCACTAGCTTGCATTAAATTAGTGCCAATGTGATTATCTCTCCACCTCATGTCCTGTGTTGTGTTCAGGCCTCCACATGCCCCGAACACCTAACAACCCCACCCCCTCTCCCTTTTTTTGCTCAGTGTAGAATATAACCCTGTTTTATCATAATCTAGAGAAATTTATGAACTTTTTTGCTACTTGTATGAAATTCTTGCCTTGTAACCCTCCACTCTTTATATAGAGTAATGATTTGGAACTCTTTACCAAATTTTATTTCAATTTATATTATCTAATATATAATTACACAGTTTCTGATACATATTTTATCAGACAGCCAAAAATGTTTTCATGTATTGAATGTGAGTTTATACTCTGAATTTTACTTTATATAAAGTTTGAAATATTTTTTTGAGTGCACAATACTCGCTGATGATATCTAAATTTCATAAATTGTATACAATTTGTAGACTGTATTTTCAAAGAAAATCTTTTAATTTTAGTATAAGATACTAGTAAATAACTGAACCCCACAGCAGTACTATTGAGTGATTTGTAGTTTGTCAGTTTTCTGATTTATAAGTCACCTAATTTCCATCCTATACAAAATCTACTGTTTATCTATTGATTATTTTGGAGACAGGAAACTGTACTACCAGTATATTACATATGAGTGTGATGTGGAGAGTTAAGTTTAAAGACTGGTACTGTAGTTATGTAGCCAGACCAGACTTGGCAGATGGATATGATGTTGTATTTAAAATCACTTATATATATAATACTGTTTCTGTTACATACCTTAATAATCAGTTGTTTATTTACCAAGAATCTCAGAATTCCTTATATCTTCGGACTGCAGGACAATGCCGGAGCTTTCCAGTTTTCTTGTTACATGTTGGTATAATTTTGCTGTTATCAGTGATTCTGTTCTGTGTTGTTTACTTTAGACTTACTTCAGGAAATAAAGTTATTTCACTTACATTGTTTTTGTTGGTTGTTTTTAAATAGATGTCATAGTCAAAAGCTGTGTAGAAATTATTGTATTACATACTACACAAGGATAGCTAAGGATTTTTTACAATAATATTGTTTCAAACATCAACATTTTGAGGAGAAAAGTATACTTTTCCCAATAAAGTCCACTAAAAAACAATGAAGTTTTAACCAAGATATTTGAGTTTGGTTCAGGATCTCGACACATCTCTGTTTATATTACTGTAGTTGGTACATAAGTACATCGTATGATCTATTTATTGTTTCAATAAAAACCAAGGAAACCATAGCTTTAATGTTTTTGAATGGATGTGTTTATGATTACCGGACAATTTGGGTACCAGACATTTATATGACAGCTGAAAAGACTTTTTGATCCTTACCTAATTTTGAGCTCTATATAATCATCAGAAGATTGTGGACAAAATTTGTTAATAAAAACTGATGGAAGAACAAAAACTCATACATATGTAGAAATCCTTGATCACAGTATGGATACTACTGGCGGCTTGTGCCCTCGGAATCCTCGATCACAGTATGGATACTACTGGCGGCTGGTGCAATAGGAATCCTCGATCACAGTATGGATACTACTGGCGGCTGGTGCAATAGGAATCCTCGATCACAGTATGGATACTACTGGCGGCTGGTGCAATAGGAATCCTCGATCACAGTGTGGATACTACTGGCGGCTGGTGCACTAAGGAATCCTCGATCACAGTATGGATACTACTGGCGGCTGGTGCAATAGGAATCCTCGATCACAGTATGGATACTACTGGCGGCTGGTGCAATAGGAATCCTCGATCACAGTATGGATACTACTGGCGGCTGGTGCAATAGGAATCCTCGATCACAGTGTGGATACTACTGGCGGCTGGTGCACTAAGGAATCCTCGATCACAGTATGGATACTACTGGCGGCTGGTGCAATAGGAATCCTCGATCACAGTATGGATACTACTGGCGGCTGGTGCAATAGGAATCCTCGATCACAGTATGGATACTACTGGCGGCTGGTGCAATAGGAATCCTCGATCACAGTATGGATACTACTGGCGGCTGGTGCAATAGGAATCCTCGATCACAGTGTGGATACTACTGGCGGCTGGTGCAATAGGAATCCTCGATCACAGTGTGGATACTACTGGCGGCTGGTGCAATAGGAATCCTCGATCACAGTATGGATACTACTGGCGGCTGGTGCAATAGGAATCCTCGATCACAGTGTGGATACTACTGGCGGCTGGTGCACTAAGGAATCCTCGATCACAGTATGGATACTACTGGCGGCTGGTGCAATAGGAATCCTCGATCACAGTATGGATACTACTGGCGGCTGGTGCAATAGGAATCCTCGATCACAGTATGGATACTACTGGCGGCTGGTGCAATAGGAATCCTCGATCACAGTGTGGATACTACTGGCGGCTGGTGCACTAAGGAATCCTCGATCACAGTATGGATACTACTGGCGGCTGGTGCAATAGGAATCCTCGATCACAGTATGGATACTACTGGCGGCTGGTGCAATAGGAATCCTCGATCACAGTATGGATACTACTGGCGGCTGGTGCAATAGGAATCCTCGATCACAGTATGGATACTACTGGCGGCTGGTGCAATAGGAATCCTCGATCACAGTGTGGATACTACTGGCGGCTGTTGCACTAAGGAATCCTCGATCACAGTATGGATACTACTGGCGGCTGGTGCAATAGGAATCCTCGATCACAGTATGGATACTACTGGCGGCTGGTGCACTAAGGAATCCTTTATCACAGTATGGATACTACTGGCAACTGGTGCAATAGGAATCCTTTATCACAGTATAGATACTATATTGCGGCTGTTGCATGGTCTGTCACATAGAGGGCATCATGCAACTTCCATCAATCTTCTGTGTGGAGGACCTGGCGTCTATATGATTAGAGTTACCAGATGCCCGACCAAGCCTGCTACCTGTAGTTTC